TCTCTCTCCCCCCCCTTCTCTTTGAGACAGATTCTCATATTGCCTGTCAACATAGTCATGATGCACAGTAAATAATGTTTAGGGGAACTGTGAGAGGCTCCTGTAGACAAATTGCTAAACAGTCTTATTAAATAAAAATCCACATCCAGATATAGAGGTGGAAACCTGAGAGATAGAGGAATAGGAAAAGTCACAAGCTAACCTCACGTCACTGACACCTCAGTCTCCAATGAGACCTCCTTTCTGTATATCCACACCTATATGCCTTTCTGTTCTATCTCATTTGCTCTCCTGTCCAAATACATCACTTCCTCTTCCTGCCCAGCTCTGTCACTTCCTGTCTGTCTGTACAGACCTCCAGACCTCTATGGTTAGTGCTGGGATTAAAGGCCTATGTTACCACGTGTGGCTGTGTTCCCAGTGTGGCTTTGAACTCACAGAGATCCAGACAGATCCCTGCCTTCCGAATGGTAGGATTAAAGGCATGTGCTACCATTGTCTGACTTCTATGTTTACTATAGTGGCTGGCTTTTTCCTCTGATTTTCAGGTAAATTTTATTGGGAGATGTAGCAGGAATCTTAGAAGGTCTTATTAATAAAATCAAACCTGAGCCAGGTATTGGTGAATGCTGGAAGATCAGAGAAGCAGAACAAGCCACAGCCACCTCACCCCACCAGTTCCTCAGCTGATCCTGTTTCCTTAGACTGGAAACCTCTTGAGTCCTCATCCAGAATGAATCTCAGCTGAACTGTTACTCAGAAGTCTAAAAGCTTAACCAGGCCAAAAGCTGCTAGTTCCTGGTCTTCACGCCTTCTATATCTTTCTGCTATCTGCCACGTGAGTCACCATGCCTGGCTGTTTCCAGTGTGGCCTTGAACTCACAGAGATCCAGAGGGATTTCTGCCTCTGGAATGCTAGAATCCAAGGTGTGAGTGCCACCATTTTCTAGCCTCTGTACCTAGGGGCTATTCTGTCCTCTGACCCCAGATAAGTTTATTAGGGTGCACAATATTTTGGGGAACACAATACCACCACAGGGGGACACAATGCATCACATTTCCCCTTTTTGTCTAAAATAAAAAAAGTTATAACTAATATAAGAAAAACTGCAGTAAGTACAGTAACTAGGTTACATAAGCAATAAATACATCAGTAATGTCTAGTCCATTTGCATTTGACAAATTCAGTGAAAATATTCCATTATCTATCATATTTTGTTGATTGCTAAATGTACCTAATTCACTTTCTATCCTAACTTACTAACAGAAAACTATCTTATGATGTCTTTCAGATTTATACACGTAGACCTCTTAGTGAGTTTCTTTTCTGAATTTCCCAGCAAAAAAAAAAATATAACTAATCTTCAACTCCTTCAGAGACCCAAGAAGGAAATAATATTATGTACAAGTAAACAACTTCCAAAAAATGTGAGTTATGACAAAAACAGCTGTTTCCTGGACAGTCACCCGAGGTTTCTCTGCAACATTGGGGCATCATCTTTGGCCTACAAGCTTAGCATATCTGACAGACTCATTTGTGAAGCAGGATGTACACAAGGCCTACAGCTTGACCTCACATTCGATGCGAGTATTCCATGTACCACATAAACTTGAATTCTGCCAGTGTCATGTCATGATTCAGGATTTTAAATTCTGGAAATTGCTGGTGTTTTTGGAATTCAGCTTCCCATTTTTCTCGGCTTGTGGGTGGCTTAATCTCCTTTATTAATTGCCAGTCTACCATTGAGAGGCCAGACAGACTCCATCAGTCTAGTTGCTCCTCCAAGAATAACAGCTCCCAGCTACTGTTCAATTGCACACCAGGAGTCATGGGTCCTCTACCTGCTCAGCTGCCTTCGAAGGAAGGGCCACTGTACCTTTTCCAGATTACAAAGCCACTTCAGCAATGGTGCCATACTGGCCTCAGAGTATGCCTGTTGCCAAAGCTGCAACCACACTTGTCTTGGCAAGGATTGGTAGTCCTGTGTGTGTGTGTGTGTGTGTGTGTGTGTGTGTGTGTGTGTGTGTGTGTGTCTTGTCCATTTTGGACAGCATACTGTCAGCAGTTGATGCAAGGGCACTTTCTTGTATGGTGGCTGATTTTTGCCACAGTGAAAGTAAACTCCATGTGGAGGTTCTTCAATGCCTATATCTTCTCTGAAGTGGATTGGTGCTACCAGGAGCAGACATGTCTCATAGTCATAAAAAAAGAAAAAAAAATCTATGTTATTAAAACATTTTAATGCCATATTCTATAGATCTCTGAAGGGTTTGAAGATGACTTGTCTATCTAAAATATATCTCTGCTTGATCTTGAAAACATACCTAATATGACTACAAGTAGAATTGTAATGACTACTAACTTTCATTTCTTTATATCCTAAGAGTTGGTAATAATAACTTTCAAGGATTAGCAAATTGTGTTACATTGTTAAATGAACTGTACAGGTACAATATCTTGAACAAGATTAGAAATATATGTTCAATATATTCTAACAAAATCAACCTCAAATTTATAGCAATATACATAATTTGTATACAATATAAAAAATCCAATCCAATGTAAAATATTTAAAGCTAAGTAGCTGCCTTTTAAAAGTAGATTCAATAATCTACATTTTATCTATATCTTTTTTCTTTTCAGAGTAGATTCAATAATCTACCTTTTATTCTATCATTTCTGTATCTTTTTTTCAGAGTAGATTCAATAATCTACCTCTTATCTATACCCTCTTTTTTCTTCTTCTCTTCAAACAAGAACCTTTAATCTCCCTTGTTTAGCCCTTTTCCTGACCATTAACAATAACAACTTGTAACCTACCATCTTAAACAATGAGAATTATCTAAAACCCATTGGAAGACCAAAACCCACCCACCCCGCCTTGCCAGTATCTTGTCAGGTCCAAGTGGCACCGGATGGTTCCACAGAGCTTGAACAATAGTGAAAACAACCAACTACTTCAGTACAAGTTTCCCAAAGATGATCGACATCCACCAAATCAGCAGGAAGCAGTTTCAAGAAACCCAGCACCCTCATTCCCGCCCACCTGCCACCAACTCCTCACTTTCTATAATAAACGAAAGGATGGGATGTTAGCATTTCTGGTATCCTCTAGCCACTTCTGAGGTCCCACAGCTGCATATGCACTGTCAGCAGCAGGCAAAATGCTTAGTCACCCCAGGGTCTCATGACTGTAGTCTCATGTAATCTGTGCGCATGTGTGGCGTGGTTGTGTAAATCCTTATATGCACATGCTGAGCTATAAATTTAAAAGCAGAGCCCTCTTTAATCCCAGCACTAGGGAGGCAGAGCCTGGCAGATCTCTGTGAGTTCGAGGTCAGCCTGGTCTGTAGAGCAAGATCCAGGATAGGCAGCAAAGCTACACAGAGAAACCCTGTCTCGAAAAACCTAAATAAATAAATAAATAAATAAATAAATAAATAAATAAATAAATAAATAATAAATGAATGAATGAATGAATGAATGAATAGATAAATAATAAAGCAGACCCCACCCATTCCATGCTCTCTTCTGTCACTTCTCTTCCAGACAAGCCTGTGCACCTTCCCCCGACTCTCTACCGATAAACTTTTTTTTTTTTTTTT